AATCATAAGCGGGAAGCGGGATTTTATTCCATCGCGGGAAGTGGGATTAATAAAAATACCATGGCGATATGCGGGAAAGTAATGCACGATTAGCGGGATAAATCAACAAAACTTGTAGCCGTACATTAGCTGATCGGTTGTTATTTTGTTTGTTTGCTCGAAATTTACTGTTTCAAGGATGATATCGAACATTTGTCCCCCATCAATCTCCATTTACATGTATGATTGCTGCTTTCAGACCTTTCATAAGAGTCGCGATTTAGAGTCATTTATTATTTTAAACTTTGTTGTATTGTATTCTAGTGTATTCAAATTGTATTTTATGTCGTTACCATGTTCTTTAAATCATAATACGTTGAACAGTGTTAGAAGAAAAGTCGGGAGTGGGAAATTGAGATGAGGCATGACGGGATAACGGGATTTGAAGTGAAAATCGGTCGGGATGGCGGGATTTTCGAACCCGGTACAGGCCCCTCTTGAATGGCAGCAGCACTAGGAGGTAATTTAGAAAATTATTGGGCTCAATGAAAATCCACCCCATCAAATGGTCCGCCTCTAATACATAATATTTCTAAAATACATATATAGAATAGTCGTCGCATGCAAATCGGCCATTTCTACGTGTGAACCTCTTAGATTTATAATTAAAACGGGGATTATATTTTAATTATAAAACAACAAGTCAGCACTATTTAAAGTACGAAAATGTCAGCAAGTGTCATAATTCTGCCTAACAGAAGCTCCAAAACTATTTCCAAAAGTTTCCCAAGAAAAACGGCGTATATCTTCTGTGTTTAAATAAAGTTGATGTATGTATGTATGTGTATGTATGTATTGAATCATTTTTGAATGCCGATTAAAAAATTCCATTGCTAAAAATTCGAACGGGTGAAAACATATTCATTTCACGGATCTAAGGCTGGTATACTTTAATTTAGGGTATTATAATTAGTTGCGGTAGCAATCATGTGTTTATAAAATGCTCCGTCGTCCGCCGTCCATCCGCCTTTTATCTACACCCTATAAGAACCTAGATTTTTCCAAGTTAGCCTATATATTGAGTATAACAGGTTCTATAACAAACATACTTTCAGGGAGGTGAGTAGTAATATAGAGGCCGTTCGACCCTTATTTATGCGGCGGTGGAGGTGGTGAAGTGTGGTGCAGTGTGGTGGTGGAGTGAGGAGGAGGAGTATAGGTACCGTTCGACCCGGATTTTTGTGGTGGAGTGTGGTGGAGGGAGGGTGCGTAATGACGTCACTCATTAGCATACGTCATAATTACGTGCAATGACGTCACGCAGGCAGGTTTAAACAAGGATGTGTGAAACTTGCTGACTACGCATTTTTAGCGTCCCCCACGTGTATGATACAATAGGGGGCTTAATATTGGCTTGCTATGAATAGTTTGTGTCCCTCGCATGGCAAAATTGTTATCGAAATTAATATATAGCAGACTGGTTATAGCCGTATCTTTGCTCGGAAGAGATAAATTTCCACAGGTATATTGAAGGACTTTTCGTATGTTCCATATCGAGGAATTTATTCGTCACAAAAATCAAGACATATTTTAAACAGAACAGTTCCTAATCCCGAGTTGTCAACGTCGTTGTTAAGGTCAATAATATTAATATATAGCAGAGTTATAGTCGTATCTTTGCTCGGAAGAGATAAATTTCCACATGTTTATTATATACATGACAAAATTACTGCCGAATCTTATTGGTTAAGAGGAGTGCAATTATTTCATTAATTGCACTCTCCAGGAGTGCAATTAATGATTTTCGTGATGGCTGGGGGGACAGGGTTGCCAGTTTGGCGTTAAAAGAGCCAAATTTCACGATTTTGGCTTCTTTTGACTTCGTTTGGCTACTAAAAATTTCGTTTGGCTTCTTTCTATTTTTTTGCTCTTTTTGGCTTCTTTTTGAATAAATACTGAAATAAGCAACTTTTCAAAAATAGTCTGCTATCCATCAGTAAAAGTTAGTTAGAACTCTGCTATGTTCTGCTATGTTCGATCACATTACCCGGGATTCCGGATGTACGTAAATACCCGATCGGAATTACTACCCTCTCCCCTACTGTCTATGTAGTTTCGAGTAATGATGATTTCAATACGGTTATTTCGCTTTGCTGTAAATAAGAAGCATAACAGCCTTTGCTTACTGTTACTATGTGTTTGTTGTGTGCCTAAGGATTTTACCTACAGTGTATAAAATTGTAACGTCACAATGACGTCATCGTGACGTCATAAATGACCGTAAATAGTTCATAAATTGAACGCGTCCCGCTTGAGTATCAAAACAGTTAGGACAAGATGCCATTGACAAGCAGATCACGTCAGAAAAGTTTGAACAATTTTCCGAAAGAGTTAAAAGCACGACGATGAACTTGTCAAAAAGTACTATGAACTGAATTATTATATCGATGAACAAGCGTGTTGCAATGATCAGTGAGAAACGAGGAGAACGATTAAAGTATTAAATTTATTAAGTGTTTCAATATTACAATGTTTTTCCTTATTTATACCGTTTATATTGGCAGTGCCTTTTGACTTCAATAACTGTTTTAGATGCTTAATAGTGACGAATGTATTAAGTACACACTTCTACCATGCATATTCAATAAAAGTACTATGCGAAAACTCAACGATTTATTGCCTCCGTGAAAATTATTTTGAAGACCTTATACATGCATACAAACTAAATAGAACTCAATTTCAACACGTTACGCACACGTTACGCACACGTTACGCCACACGTTACGCCTTTCAGTATATAAGAATCTATAGCAAGCTGACACGTTACACACGTTACGCCTAATATATTAAAGGTAGACCTATTCTACCTTTATAAGAATGGGGCGTAACGTGTGTAACGTGTCGATTTTTATTAATATTCTATATAAACTCAAACGTAACGTGTGGCGTAACGTGTGCGTAACGTGTGCATCTATTCTTATATATTTCTTTGAGAGTAAATATGCAATGATGGCTGCATGAAAAAAGTTAAAACTGTCCATCCAAAAACACCAGTTCGTCAAAACAGCGTGGGTACGGAGACAGGTCTTTCTGCTCCGCCTGCGGAATCTTCCGGGTAAACTCAAAGACCCTCCACCAAACAAACCAGATAATTTCTGTTTCGCGTTCGTCAATCTGTCCGTTTCTGCCGTAGTAGAAAATTGCGTTGCTTAAAGTTGCAAAAATTGGATGGCAGAGTCCAGATTGAAAAGTTAGAACAGGAGACATAGAGGATCCAATAAGCTGTTCAAAACGGTTGTTTACTCGTACCCAGTACCCCGTTCTGCGTCTTTTGAGTCCATTTTTGTGCGAGTTTCGCACGAAAACTAGATCACTGGGCTTAAAGCGCGAAAAATGAAACTTTTGCCCGAGACTGCGTTAAGTTCAATTTTTGGCAGAAATTTAATTAAGTTTGGGACCACAAAGAGGCCTCTGCTAAGACAATCGCGTGCAAAAATAATGAGACTCTGCACATTTTGGTGATCTTTTTCACGTGCGTGCCCCCCTCCCCCCCATTAACAATGTTGACAACATATTATTTGATAAGCCCTGATCCCAAAATCGTTTTAACAACATTGCACAAGGGGGAGGGGGGGGCAAGAAGCATTGTTACAGGAGGGAGAGGGCCAATAAACTGCATGTCTCAACAATTTTTGCACGCGATTGTAGGTCTTTAATTACTGCTATCTTGGGTTAGCACTATTTTCCATCCAGCAAACTGACCTGACGACATTTTCGGAAGATAGAAGAGGTGTTAAATGGCTATGTAACTAACCCATACCCTATCCCTACTCTAACCCTAACCGCAACCCTATTAACCCTAACCCTAACCCTAACCCTAACCGAATTAATAAAAAATCCAAAAAGAAACAACTTTAAAAAATCGATAGGGCAGGTTGCTGGATGGAAAATAGTGCTAACCGCTACCTTGATAACTAAATAAAGTTTGAGTTGGAATTCTTAGTCACTATGTCAAACATTAAATTTTTTATAAATGTATTTAATAGCGATTGTTTTTATGGGTTTTTATGGGGTATATAATTCGTGTAATTAGGTTAGCCCCAGTCCCCACTCTAAATTTCGATTATGGCTTCTTTTGACCGAATTTAGCTACTTTTTACGTATCATTTGGCTCTTTCGGGCGCAGACCACTGAGCTATACTTATATATCTGGAGATCGTGCTCTCGACGAAAGTGTGTGGCCAAAAACATGGCGGATTTGACGTCACAATCGACCTATTTTCATGGGGGTTTCCACTGACCCGTGGCTCGAATGTCCGTGGGCGACAAAGTTCAACCCCCCTGGATTTTACAGTGATTTTGTGTACTGACTGTTTAATATGTTAGTTGGTCGACAGAGAGTATATTTTTGATTTTCATCTTTCTGAAAATAATATTATTCTAACTGCGCGTATAAGTCAATAAAGACCGAACGCGCCATTAATAAAAAAAGACATGAATGGAGCATGACGGCCACAATGACAAAGCATGTAAGTCATTGAAACGATTTATCAATTCTTGTTGTATATTTGTCAATTTGTGTTGCACCTGACTATCAAGATTCTTTAAAACACAAGTATTATAATAATCTCTAGTATAAGTAAACTTAAACAAATATAGCTTGTTGAAAACCGTATTGCTATAAATTTCCCTGAGTGACAAAGGTTTTTTTAGAGATTTACCAGTTTATTCTGTTAGTAAATTGTGTGGAAGCCACTCTTTGGAATAAGCACTTATATCACCATAAGACATTAAAGTTTTTATACCTGTATGTATTCCGCTTTCAGGTATATTCTATCAAGAAAATATGGTATATCTGTACTAAGTACAGAGTGACAATGAAGAAAGTCAAGTGTATTTCTTTATCATGGTCTTCCTTGTAAAAGGTGATGACACTATGTCATTGAACATTCAAGGAACAATTGGGTATTTAAGAAGCCACAATTGCATCTTTAGATCATCCCTGATGAAGACACTAGACTGGAGTGTCGAAACGTTGGGTCTTTATAACAATTCTACTGGGCTTTGTAATCATTTATTTAAACCAGAGTAGCGAGCAAAACATGATTCAAAGAACAATTGCCCTTTAGAACAAATATGCACATTTATGCTCGAGTTACAATGTTTGATATCTGGTGCCGGTTGTTCAAAGCTGGGTTAGCTTAACCCTAGGTTAACCTAAGATTCAAAGCAAACTTCATGACAGCTTGTCTATAAATTCGGAAATATTTCTTCAGAGATCTTGTCTGGATCGATAGGAGTTTTCTTCTCTGAAATAAACAGACGTGCAGAAATACACAAACTAAAACAGCAGGTAAACTTTTACTGTCGTTCCAATTGAAGTGTTTCTCAAATATTGATTCATACATTACCTCAGGCTGACGAATTCATTTGATCAAGTTCCTCGAAATATTCATACACTTCCTAGTATAATATTATTGTAAACTTCCTGTTGAATAGTTTGAATGCACCAATCACCTTTGTTGTTTGTGCAACCAATCATAAATAGAAAGGAAGTGACCCGAAATAATCAAATTCTTGGAATTGGCTCTTTCGCAGGAAATGTATGAATATCTCGAGGAACTTGATGAAATTAATTGGTCAGCCTGAGGTAATGTATTGAATCAATATTTGAGGAACACTTCAATTGGAACGACAGTAACCCAGGGTTAGCGCTAACCCACCTTTGAACAACTGGCCCCTGCATTTTATACGATTCATACCTTATTTTTATTGGCATTAAATAATTATTAAAAATAATATTTTATTCAAAAAAAGATTTTCCAAGATAATTATATTTTTTCATTTAGTAATAAGGATAAATAATATATTAAATTTCAAATCACAACAAAATTTATTATTTATTTTAAAATATACACAACACCAATTTAATTAAATAAGCTGCTCAACCAATTCTATGCATGTCAATCCCCACTTGATGGTCAGCACCTACAGTAATTATGCCAGCCTAATTTGTACACTAACACAAATTGTCAAAATAAATGGAAATGTAGCAATCTTGGCTTAGCTGAATAGGCCAAAATGTGTACAAATAACTTCAAGTAGTTAGCAGAAATAAGGAATAAATATTTATTGTATTGTGCTGTTCACTTTCTAGTTTAAGTTTAATACAGTACTACTTGATGCTATCCAACTTGAGAATCAATGTGGAATGGTCAAGTTATGTGGTAAATACAGATCATGTGTGAGACAAACAGGCCAGAATTGTTATTTGCACAACAATTGGGATTTTGTAAAAATGACATTTACCACTTGCTATTGGATTTTGAATATCAATTTTAACTAAATTGACACAAAAGAGAGATAGACATGCATATAATTGATTGAGACAAAATTAATATATTAATATAATAAATTATTCAGAAAATAGGATAACAATTTTTCTTGATTAATAATTAAAGATTATTTCATTGGACAACTGCTGATTTTGGAACACAATGTTGTGGCATCCATGCCAGTGGTGCACTGCACCTTGTTTGCCACCTTCCCGATTTTTCTGTCCCCGGATTATTATCTGCACCCCCCCCCCC